ATATATATATATATATATATATATATATATACAGTGAAAGAAATAGGTATTTGATCCCCTGCTGATTTAGAATTTTTGCCCACTCACACAGAAATGATCAGTCTAAAAATCGAATGGTAGGTGTATTGTAACACTGAGAGATAGAATAGCAACAAAAAATTCAAAAGAAATGCATGTCTAACAAATTATGCACTGATTTGTATGTTCATGAGGGAAATAAGTATTTGATCCCCTTCACAAAACATGACTTAGTACTTGGTGGCAAATCCCTTGTTGGCAATCACAGAGGTCAGACGTTTCCTGTAGCTGACCACCAGGTTTGCACACATCTCAGGAGGGATTTTGGCCCACTCCTCTTGGCCGATTCTCTCCAAGTCTTTAAGGTTTGGTGGCTGATGTTTGGCAAGTCGAACTTTCAGCTCCATCCACAGATTTTTTAGGCCACTCCAGGACCTTAATGTGCTTCTTCTTGAGCTACTACTTTGTTGCCTTGGCCGTGTGCTTTGGGTCAATGTCATGCTATAACACCCATCCATGACCCATTTTCAATGCCCTGGCTGAGGGAAGAAGGTTCTCACCCAAGATTTGACGGTACATTGCCCCGTCCATCGCCCCTTTGATGCTGTGCAGTTGTCCTGTCCCCTTAGCAGAAAAACACCTCCAAGGCAGAATGTTTCCACCACCATGTTTGACAGTTGGGATGGTGTTCTTGGGGTCATAGGCAGCATTCCTCCTCCAAACACAACGAGTTGAGTTGATGCCAAAGAGCTCAATTTTGGTCTCATCTGACCACAACTCTTTCAACCAGTCTTCCTCTGCATCATTCAGATGTTCAGTGGCAAACTTCAGATGGGCCTGGACATGTGCTTTCTTGAGCAGCAGGACCTTGTGGGCACTGCAGGATTTCAGTCCTTGTCGGCGTAGTGTGTTACTAATTGTTTTCTTGGTGACTGTGGTCCCAGCTGCCTGGAGATCATTGACAAGATGCTCACGTGTAGTTCTGGGATGATTCCTCACTGTTCTCATGATCATTGACACTCCACAAGGTGAGATCTTGCATGGTGCACCAGACCTAGGAAGACTGACAGTTGTTTTTTGTTTCTTTCATTTGCGAATGATTGCATCAACTGTTGTCACCTTCTCACCAAGCTGCTTTGAGATAGTTTGGTAGCCCAGTCCAGCCTTGTGTAGGTCTACAATCTTATCCCTGACATCCTTGGACAGCTCTTTGGTCTTTGCCATGGTGGAGAGTTTGGAATCTGATTGTTTGATTGCTCCTGTGGACAGGTGTCTTTTATACAGGTAACAAAATGAGATTAGCAGCACTCCCTTTAAGAAACTGCTTCTAATCTCAGCTTGTTACATGTATGAAAGACACCTGGTAGCCAGAAATCCTGCTGAATGATAGGGAATCAAATACTTGTTCCCCTCATGAACATACAAATCAGTGCATAATTTGTTAGACATGCATTTCTTTTGATTTTTTTGTTGCTATTCTGTCTCTGTGTTACAATACACCTACCATTTGATTTTTAGACTGATCATTTCTTTGTGAGTGGGCAAACATTGTAAACTTCATTATGGTTATAAATTATACATTAAATAAGCAATGTACAGTATATCCTATAGTCCAATCTGAATACTGATGCACCCTCTTTCTATTAGTTTTTCAGTGGTCACCAAGCTGTTTATCACAACATTAATTCATACAATGTATAGTAAATTACAGGTCCAGGCAAGACCATATATTAGGTATTTGCTGAAGCACATAATAAAATTGTTTGATGGAAACAGATCCAACTGAGTCCTAAAATTATGTCTGCTCATGTACAAATGAACTAAGAGGTCAAACATTTGGGTTTCTTGCATTGGCATATACCAACTCTATTATCAAAAGAAGGCCACAAAGCAAATCTGGCATCATGACTTCCCAATTTTCTGGAGGCCATGAAATTCCTCTAGCTGCAGGCTTTTTTAAAAAATACTTTGGGGAGCCTATAGGTAGTATGGGTCCTAAGTTTAGACTCATGTAACTTGTAGCACCCTCCTTATATAGGTGCTAGGATAAGTAGATTACAGTTGGTTCCCCTACTTAACAGCAGAACTGTTTAGGAAAATCTAATCAGGCATTGTGCTAACAGAGAACTGCAATCATTTAGTGATGCCTTCTCAGTGGTGTGTCAAGTTCTTCTTAGTTCTGCCTCTGGCTTCCTCCAGTTTCCAAGTAGCCTGGGAAGGTAATGGATGTATAGGTGGAACTTCTGGCAGAACACAGTATGAATATTAATGCGCTCCAGTCAATCCCAGGGAGTGTTGTCCTGAAGGATGCTGGGAGAGGGTATTTTATTATTTGGGCACACACTGGGAGCCCTGGGTCCTTTCCTGGAGAAGATTTACCAGTCTGGGGAAGGACGGCACTGCCTGTCAGGACATGGGACGTAGACCAGCAATGGTGGGACTACAGCTGCCTTTTGACTGCAGTACCAGGGCTGGCCAGCGGGTGCTACCCAGCAATCAGAAGACTCAACCTTTGCAGCCAGCTAACACCTGGAACTGATTATGCTGGGGGGTATTTAAGGGATGGCCAGACTTGCAGACTCTGCCTTGGGTGTTGTGTTCTCTTGGGCCCTGTATCCTGTTCCTGCTCTCTGTTCCTGTCTGATTCTTGCTGATCCTGTTCTTATCCCTGGCTTGTGACCCTGACCATCCCTCTGCTACCCTCTGTACTACGCTGCTTGCTACCTGCTGCTGAACCTGGCCTGTGACCCCCGACCAATCTCCCGCTTGCTCCCCCTGTACCTACCTGCCCTATTGATATTGACCCGGCCTGCCTGACGACGCTTGCATGTATGTACTGTTATCTGTGGGTGGTTTGGTTTGGTTTGGTTTTGGTTGCACTGTATTTATGTTTTAGTATTGCACTGCGTATTATGTTTTGTATTGTTAGTGTTAATAAATTATTATTGTTTATAACATATCTGAGGTCTGCGTTTCCCTGCGTCAGTCACATACCTCTGGTCACACCTGGGAGCCCTGACATTACACCAAGGCCAATCCTGACCAGAAGTGGCTGCACAGGGAAGCCATCTTGGTTTGTTGATTGGGAAGTATTGGTTCTGGATGAGGTTGTGTATTTATATCTGCTAGTGTTTGAGGACTGGGAGGTAATGCTTATCAAACTATGATAGGAGTATTCCCAGGGGTCAACTAGCTAGAATGTATACGGCTCGACCCTCAGAGTTTCTAGTAGATCAGGGCACAGAGTTCTCTGAGGGTGCAGGCTTTGATTGAGGTTGTGTCGAAGTTGGTATCAATCGGGATTTTCCCCCGAATGCATGAATGGGATGAATTTTTGCCCACTATTTAGTGCAGACCAGGTAGAGTCCCTGGTGTGGTTAATTAGAGGATGATGGTGGGTTACTTTCAGGAGGCGTTTATTCACATGTATCACGGCACAGACACTAAGAGATTTGTATAACCGCAGTGCAGTCATTTGGACCAGACAGGCTTTGTGTAAGCTCATCTTTGTTTGTTCAACCCCTACTGCAGGGGGGACATTGACAGATTTGTTGCAAACCCAAGCCGCAGACAGCTTACAAAGGAACCAGTCCTGCTTCTAAATCTACTCCTGTATTCCCACCACTCCACCAGTTACAGTCCAGTTTTTCTCTGTCCTCCAGCTGCTCCATTCCGTTTAGCAGACCTGCGTATTACATGGAGTGCTCCAGTAGTTATAAAACCAGAAAAAAAACGCGAAATTTCTTTCCAACCAATACCAGCCTGCCAGTATTCAAAAACCCATGAAACCTGCCTTCCGTGACTCAGCCTGAAGCTTCTACTTCCCAGATCCTGAAGCCCTCTACTCAGCCTGTTTCCTCTACTCAGCCTGATGCCTCTTCCTCCGACTGATGCCTCTCTTCAGGCCTGAAGCCTATCTTCACCCTGAATGGCCATCTCTTCAGCCGGATGCCTCGGTTCAGCCGGAAGTCCTCTCTTCAAGCCTGATGCCTCTCTTCAGCCTGAAGCCTCTACTCAGCCTAAAGCCTCTACTCAAGCCTGATGCCTGCTATTCAAGCCTGATCCTGCATTCAAGCCTGATACCGGCTGACACATGCATGATGTACTGATCCAGCCCGACGATCCTATTAGGCCAGTTGACATCGAATGCCTCGCTGTCGAGCCAGACACAGTCCGATACCTGATGACCCGGTGCCCCACTGTCGTGCCTGTGGACATCGGAGCCACTGTATTGACCAGACGACTCACTCGGTTGCCCGCTGTTCCGCCAGTCGACTCGTGTGCCCGGCAGTCTTGCCAGACGAACAACTCGGTGCCCGACAGGACCTTTGCCAGACGACATCGGTGCCCGAGTCTTGCCAGACGACTCGGTGCCCGCAGTCTTGCCAGACCGACTCGGTTGCCCGCAGCTCTTGCCAGTTGACTCGATGCCGCATGTCTTGCCAAGAACGACTCGGTGGCCCGCAGTTTTATATTCGCCAGTTGAACCTCGGATGCCACGCTGTTCCGCAGTGATCAGTGCCCGCAGTCTTGCCAGGACGACTCGTGCCCACAGTCGTGCCTGGAGACTCGGTGGGCCCGCCGCTGCTTTTCGCCTGTGGGCCGGAGGACCTGTTGCTTTTCCGCCTGAGGGCCCGAGGACCTGTCGCTCCACTCAGGGGGTCCGCGCGCCCGCCGCTCCGCTCTGAAGGGCCCGAGACCTGTCGCCTCCCATATGGGGGGTTTCTCCGTCACCTCGCACGCTCAGCCTGAAGGGCCCGAGAACTGTCGCTCTCCATCTGGGGGTCCGGGCGCACCGCCGCTTGCACGCACTGAGGGCCAGAGGACCGTGTCCGCTCCGCCTGGGGGCCCGAGACCTGTCGCTCCACCTGGGGGTCCGTGCCCGCCGCTCCGGCCTGAGGGCCCGAGACCTGTCGCTCCACCTGGGGGGTCCGCGGCCCGCCGCCTCCGCCTGAGGGCCCGAGACCTGTCGCTCCATCTGGGGGTCCGGCGCCCGCCGCCCGCCTGAGGCCCGAGACCTGTCGCTCCATCTGGGGGTTACGGCGCCCTACGCCGCTCCGCCTGAGGCCCGAGACCTGTCGCTCGCCTGGGGTCCCGAGAGACCTGTCGCTCCATCTGGGTGGTTCCGGCGCTGCCGCTCGCCTGAGGGCCCGAGACCTGTCGCCCACGCCTGCCGGGGCCGATGCCTGTCGCCCCGATGCCTGTCGCCCCGCCTGGGGGCCCGATGGCCTGTCGCACCCGACCTGGGGGCCCGATGCCTGTCGCCCCTCCTGGGGCCCGATGCCTGTCGCCCCGCCTGGGGACCCGATGCCGGTCCGCCCCTCCTGGGGGCCCGGCGCCCGCCCCGCCTGGGGACCCGATGCCGGTCGCCCGCCCGGGGGCCCGGTGCCTGTCGCCCCGCCCGGGGGCCCGGTGCCTGCTGCCCAGGCCCCGGGGGCCCGGTTGCCTGCTGCCCCGCCCGGGGGCCGGTGCCTGCTGCTCCGCCTGGTGGCCCGCGTGCCTGCTGCTTCGCCTGGTAATCCGATGTGCCTCCTGCCCGGAGTCCGGCCCGATGTGCCTCTGCCCGAGTCCGGCCCGATGTGCCTCCTGCCCGGAGTCCTGCAGCCCGATGTGCCCTCTGCCCGGGGAAAGGGGAGTCCTGCCGATGTGCCTCTGCCCGGAAGAGGTCCTGCCATGTGCCTCTGCCCGGAGTTCCTGCCGATGTGCCTCTGCCCGAGTCCTGCCCGTTTTGTGCTCTCTGCCCGGAGTCCTGCCCGATGTGCCTCTGCCCGAGTCCTGCCCGATGTGCCTCTGCCTGGTGTGCCTTTGCCCAAAGTGCCTCTGCCCGGTTGTGTGCCCCTGCCGGTGTGCCGCTGCCTGGAGTCCTGCCCGGTTGTGCCAGTCTTTGATATCCCGCCAGTTTACCAGCACCCGGGTGGTGGAACCATTTGCACAGCTAGGACTGTTTGGAGCGTCCTGAGGCCGCTCCTTGATGGGGGGGGTACTGTCAGGAATGGACCTAGCCATCAATGGTGGACTCAGCAGCCTTTTGATACTGCAGTACCAGGGCTGGCCAGCGGGTGCTCCCAGCAATCAGAGACTCAACTTTGCAGCCAGCTAACACCTGGAACTGTTATGCTGGGGTATTTAAGGGATGGCCAGACTTGCAGACTCTGCCTTTGGAGTTGTGTTCTCTTGGGTCCCTGTATCCTGTTCCTGCTCTCTGTTCCTGTCTGATTCTCTGCCTGATCCCTGTTCTTTATCCCTGGCTTGTGACCCTGACCATCCCCTCTAGCCTTACCCTCTGTACTACGCTGCTTCTACCTGCTGAACCTGCCTGTGACTCCGACCCAATCTCCGCTTGCTCCCCTGTACCTACCTGCCCTATTGATATTGACCCGGCCTGCCTGACGACGCTTGCTTGTATGTACTGTTATCTGTGGTGGTTGGTTTGGTTTGGTTGCACTGTATTATGTTTTAGTATTGCCACTGCGTTTATGTTTGTATTGTTAGTGTTAATAAATTATATTGTTTTATAACATATCTGAGGTCTGCGTTTCCCCTGCATCAGCCACACACCTCTGGTCACACCTGGGTAGCCCTGACACTGCCTCTCCAGGCACCTACTGTCATGCAGCCCTAGGTGAGTGACCTGAGGGTCTGAAGTAAGAAAGGGAGCGACCTTGGTTCTTCAGAAAGCTGATAGAGAGAGTGTCTACTGAGGGTCTAATCTGGTATCACAAAGAAGAGGCTACTGGCTGTTCTTTTGGGCCTTGTGAGTACAGACATCCTAAGGAACTAATAGACTGTTACTGTTAACCCCCTCTGGTGTTCTATATAGTCAGCCAAGGGTCCAGTCCTAGAGACAAAGAGCTTTGTTCATTTACCTTTGCTGCAAAATACGTTGCTCTAAACCTGAAGTTTACTGTTATGGGTACTGCAAAGGAGAAGTCTTTTACCTGCTTCCAGCAAGGACTTCACCTAAACATTGACTAAGAGATAAGATAGAGTCCTCACTGTGTATAATTCTATCCTCGGAGTATCCCACTCATTCCCCCATCCCTACCCAAGTTCTCAAACAATAAAACTACAAAAAGAAAACCCCTAGACTGATCATTGAAGACAACACGTGAAAGTGTGTGTGTACTTGGCTGTGAAATTACCTTGTGTCTGGCTGTGAGACAAAAAAGAGGGAAGACCTGGACAGTAATCTTAGTGGCTCATTCGGGGGTAGCACTACATAACAAAATATATAAATATACCAGTTTTCAGGTACACATAGTGCAGTGTTTATGTAAGATGATATTTTTTTCTCAATAAAGTATACTGGTAATTATTGGAGTCTGTGTTTCCTTCCCAGTTCCACAGAAGCTGCCAGGCTGGCATCTTTCTCTGCTTTTTATACAAGTGTGTGTTGAATTGGAGGAAAATCAGTGCATATTGGCCCCTTTGGTCTGCAACTAGTCCTTCCATTGTTTCCAGGAGACATTATATTGACTTGCACATTATTATATATGTTACTTAGTGAAATATCAGTGTGTTTTTTCAAGAGGTGCTTGCAAAGTTTTTTCCTTGTTCTGTAAATGTATTAAACAAAACTCCACTGGTTTCTTGTTCAAATATTTTATTGAAGCGTTTTACAGAGAAAATTACAGGAATATAATCACATGCAAGAGAAAATGAAAGCCATTCACAGAAAAAATACAATAAAAGGAGAATAAGCATAAATATTATCCAGTATAGTAACATGGTGCATAGGGTTAGGTATAGAAGTAACACCACAAACCTGGGTGGTTTGAGTGCACAAGTTTGGATGTGGCAAGTTAGAGTGAATCACCTCATTGGGGTGTTTGAATACCATCCTTTAGAGGGTGACAGGGCTGTAACACTACAATCCCACCAGGGAGATACCCGGGAGCACATGTGAGTACGGAGAGCACTAGCAATAATAATCAACGCCTCTGGATGAGGGAGAACCTGTGACTTCAGCGAGGTTATTCTGGAAAGAGTGAAACTAAACAAAGAGTAGAGAGGAAAAAAAGGGGGTAGGGGCTAGCAGCCAAAGGGGAACAGCTAAACATAAAAAGAGACAGAAAAACAAGAGGGGGGGGGGGGAAGAAGGGTGGGAGTCAATGTGGAAGGGAGGGTGGTTAAATCCCCTAGGAGGGACCAGAATTACAAATAAGGGGGGTAACCTGGATTATCAGGGTTACAGTAGAGCTGTCAGGGCAGCAGCAAAGTATCGTCAAAATCTGGGGGCAAATAGTTGGTGACCCAGGGCATTTAAAGGTTTTCATAGGAGGTCACTTTATCCAGTATGATCGATTCAATTTTGGCGTCAGTCAATGCTTTAGTAATTCTATATTTCATCGCTAGGATACATAATGCAGAAGATTTCCAAGCTATTGCATTCATCTATTTTGGTCTGCTGTGGTTACTTGGAGTAAAAGCTTCAATTGACGGTGAATGAGAGCCATGAGCTTGTTGTTCAGGAGAGCTACTGTAGGGTCAGGTGTAAGTGGCACTTCAAAATGTTGAGAGGATCTGAAACACTTCAGACCAAAAGGTCCACACTAGGGGACATTCCCACCAATTGTGGGCATGTGTACCCAAGTCAGTACAGCCTCAAAAGCACTGCGAAGTGTATTGCAGGAGAAATTTAGAGATCCTGGCGGGGACCAAGTATCATCTGGTTAGCACTTTGTAGTTGGTTTCCAAGACCATTATATTAGGGACGAGGATTTGGTTGCCTTCTGAATGTGGCTCCAGTCGGCTGGGTCTAATGTGAGGTTAAGATCTCTTTCCCATTTACTAGTGTAGTCCAAGGGCTCCAGAAGACATGCGTAAAGTTTCGAGATAAGTCCCTGTTTATGAGGGTCAGTTTTACAGGCTTTTTCAAAGGATGTGAAACTGGGGCGAAGGAATCAGGAGGTATATGTGGAGTGAAAAAGTGTTTGATTTGTAAGCACCTAAATAATTCTGTTGATGGGAGGCTATGTGTCTTGCAGGACCTGGAGGAGGGGTGAGTGGAAGGGGTGAATGCACTGGGCACAATCTTGTGAGGGAGGGAGGGGGGTGCCAGATTGCGATCTGCACCATGCTGTTTACATGCAGGAGAAACTCTCCACCAAATCACCCAGCAGCCACTCCTCCCACTGCCCTGAACTCAGCAGCAGCAGCAGCCATACCAGTGTCCACATGGGGAAAGGTCCTTCTCTCCCAGTTTAGGCAGCTGTCAGTCTACCTGGATGGATCAGGGCTCTCACAGTCTGAGCAGAAGTAGAGATGGGCAGAGCTGACAAGAGAAAACTCAGCACACTGCAGCACCAATCACTGTAAAGCCCTGCAGTCAGAGCTCTCCCCAGGCCCGCCAAGAAATTTCATATTCAAGCCATGCTGCTTGGACCTTGAAGAAGGGGACACTCCCCAAAAGCTTGTCCTCAAAATTATATGCTAGTGCAAATAAAAAAAAAGTATCACGGACAGTACTCAATTGTTTCTATATTCAAGCCATGGAACCTTCCATAAGGTGAATTGCTGAAATATACGAGTTATTGTCAGATATAACAGTTTAGTGAAACTTCCTTTCTGTCAGTCAGACTGCAACCTGTGTTTGGTTATTGCTTTCTATTTACTGTATCTGTATTCAAGTCTGATGAGACAACATACTGTGTCAGCACAGCCACACTACTTCCCAGGATAGGTAGAAACCTTTATTGAACATGGGGCTTTTTATTTGCTTGCAAAAGAGGTAAGAGTTTGTTCTGCTGGAATGAAATGTCCAAGCCTGTGATCTGTGATTCTTATGCAAATATCTCTGCAGTAACTCACAGAAGAAAATATTTTTGTAATATCCATATGTACAGTAGCTGCTAATACATTACAAGACAATTGGCTTTTAGGCTGACTATGGACCCTTTCGCACAAAGGGTCCTATCAGGTCCACCTGTCAGTTTTTTAGGTGAACCTGATTGGACCTTCAATTCATCTCTATGGACTGGCAGGTCCATTTACACCCACCTACCTCTAATTCCATTTTCAAGATCCATCCCCCTCAGTCTAGGCAGATCAGATCAGAGGGCAGCAGAGTCCATTTAAATCCTCCAGTCCATAAGGCAGAGCAGGCTGTGTCCATGTCTGCTGTACATAAACTGAGCAGACACAGACCTGTCATCCATCTTCTCTGGTCTGGTCAGCAGGAGATTGGTATACAGATCTCCTGCTGATCAAAATGGAGTCTGCCCTTGTAAAAGTGGCCTAAAGATACAAAATTTATCCCCAAAGCTCCGCTCTTCCTCTAATAGCCATCCTCCCTCCCTCAGAGCCACCTTATGCTGGGTACACATGAATCAAAAATCAGCTGCTAAATTCCAGGCTGTGTATAGCCCTACTGGTACAACAGAAATCGATCTTCAGATTGGCTTCTATCAAACAGCACTGTTGTTGGAAAATTTCCTTCAATCAGCAGCTTGCATCCAATCAGCCACAGATTCTGACAGAATACAATAACACATCGGGAAGGATTCCCCCATCCACCTCACTTGTGTGCTTGGGGGAAACTGTTTGAAACCACT